CAAACGAGGAAGTCCTTCAAATGGGCCACGGCTGGTCGGGACCGACCAATCCGTTGATGATGATGATGATGGCATTAAAAATCCAAAGCACAGGCTGACTTTGTCAGACCTGCTGCTAAAATGGACAAGACAGAGAACCCATCATCCAAAACATGTGTGTCCATGAGGTTGTCCAGCAGATGGACTCTCGTGCTGGCTTCTCCAGGCCTGCACCCAAATCAAGGAGACCTCTGACCTCCCGAAATGGGAGCACAAGCTGGGACAGTCAAACCAGCAGCTGCTCCCAAGACCAAAGCCCAGAATCCAAGACGAAAGGGCGGTCTTAGCTGGAGACAGACTTTAAGGGAGAGTCTGGACCCCTAGGCATTTCCGACAGTTTAAGTTTCCCTCAAAGCCTGAAGGCTTCGACAATTCCCTACCAATTCGTGAGAGCATTGGAGATGCAGAGAAAAATCCGGTTGTCAATCTAGGTTGACAGAGACCAGGGCATGATCATTGTCCCTAAAGATCAAGCTACCCTGTATCTCACCAATGAATCCCGACGACAGGAGAGCCAAGATGGTGCTACTTGGCTTCTCAGTTTCGTATGATATGGATCTAATCACACCACACCCACAGGACGTGGGTGTTTCCCGAATATCGAAAGGGAAGACCCCAACTAGGCAAGTCCCGATGACCCTGATAGGAGCCCCAACCACTACCCTCGATCTGGGTAACTGGGGCTCTAACAACCTCAGAACCTATTTGCCTGTAACTGAACCTATGTGGTATCTGCAGCCTTAAGGCACACAAGGAAGGCCAAAGGGACACAACAGCCAAATGCCCCAACTGTGCCAAGAGGCATCATGCCTGGAGCCTGGCTTGCTCTCTCAGGAAAGAGGCGGCCCTCAAGCGACAAGATGTTGCTAAAATGCGACCAGACTGTGCTCCTGCTCCACCAGGTACCCATGTCTGGGGACAGAACAAAATGGAAAAGGCTCCTTGACCTCCTAAGAGGAAGAAAGCTCCTCACCAGCCGACACCGGATACCTCCAATAAAAAGGAGTTTCTGACCATTGCAAATATGCAGAAAAAATAACTAGAGGAAGAAATGTTCAAAGAACACTGCAAATGCCTCCCTAAGAGACGATAATCTCCTTTTTGATAAGGAAGATATGATATGTTACTGCAGCACAAGACCGAGAGATCATAGGGGGAGACTTCGCGGAAGCAATAAGGCAGAACGACCCGGTCTGCGGGCGCTGTGACGTTGCGGGAAAAAGGCGCAGCGTTCACTGGCACTTGGGGTGGCTCTGGAGGTAGATGGACGCATGGTGGAGGACGCGAGTTGGCTGCGAAAGGACACCGAGGGCAGCATCAACCTGGCTTCGTTGAACGCAGTTGTGAAGGGAGTGAACTTGTAGCTTGGGAGATGAGTGACGTGACTGATGACAGATTCGGCAGCAGTGCACCGGTGGATTGAAGATAGCTTGAGGGGAAGAATAGGCTACGGACGAATGATGCAAATGAGATGTTAATAAGATGGCGAATGGAAATCGTGGCGTCACTGGTGGAAGAGTGGACCGTTGAAATGCGAACCGAGCTGGTGCCGTCGAGTGAGAAACACGCAGGCGGCCTGACACGCGTGAAAGACGCTGACGCCCAAGGTCTATATAAGTACTTATATAGACTTTGCTGACGCCCCGTCAGGAAGCGGAATCGCAGAAAGGTGTTATATTAATAATAAGGTAACAATGATAATAATATTAATAATGACAATGGTGATAATAAGAACGATATTAAAATAATAATAATAATAACAAAAAGAATTATAATATTAATAACAATAATGATGATAATAACAGTATCATCAATAGTGATAATAGTAATGATAATAACAATATTAACTGTATTAACATTAATAATGAGGAAATTGATTTTTTTAAATATATAAATAATATTAACAGTAATTAAAATAGTAATAATAACAACTATAGTAATAATGGTAATAATGAAGAAAATAGTAATGATAATGAAAATAAAAAAAATAATAATGATAACACTAAATATAGTAATAATAATAATAATGAAATAATAATGATTACGATAATACTAATAATATTAATAATAATATTACTATTATTATTAATTATAATATCATAATAATGATAATGATAATAAAATTAACTGTAATAACAATAATGATAATAAAATTAACTGTAATAACAATAATGATAATAACATAAGAAATAATAATGATAATAGAAGGGATAACAGTAACATTAACAACAATAATAATAATAGTAATAATGATGATAATAATAATAGTAATGATAATGATATAGGATAATAATAGCAATAATAATAATGATAACAATAAGGATGATAATAATCATAATAGTAATGGAAGTAGTAGTATTAACAATGATAGTGATAAAACAGACAACGATAATAATAATAGAAAAAGTAATGGCAGTAATAATAACAATAATAAAAATAATAGTAGTAATAATAACAATAA